CTTATTCTGTATTTTAGAGTTGTAAACTAAATAATTCCACGTGCCTAATTTTGTTGCAATTTGTATTGTGTTATTTAAATTTTGGGCTCGCCACGTATTAATTATTGTTTTGTATAAAAGACGTTTACAGGGGTTGTCAGTGAAGTAAAGAAAATTTAGTTATAACTGCTTTATTTACAGTAAGTATAGTCAATGCTTCTGCTTAAAATACAGGTAGTTTAATATGTATATCATTTGTAGAAACGCTCTACATTGAAATTCTTTTATACCTCTCTAAAAAATTAAATCGTTTCCAAAGTAACGTGTTACAGGCGGCGCACTCAATATAATATGACGCCGAGAGAAAATTTGCCTCTTTAAGCCTTGCAAAGACGTCATTACGGTACATTTGTGCGCGCAACATTTCTTTTCCATAAAACGTGACGTCACACCCTAATTTCCATACCATTTACATTTTTAACACGTCATAGTCTACCTAGAGAAAAAAATCACGACGTCAACAGGGGATGTCAAGCTATTCAGTTCTGCCAACACAGACCTATAACTTGGTTCAGGATGCCGGCAAATATAAACACTGCCGTTCAATTGTGTTTAGATGGCATAAAGAGTTTGGGGAAGGGAAGCGTGTCAATCTATAGGAGGCGAACAGAGAGGTGGTTGTCTTTAAGTTTGCAATTAGGACTCGTAAAGCAGATAAGAGAACATATTGCTATGAACCACAGGTAAAAAGCTTAGCCTAAAGATTGGGTACGTATCAGATAACAGTTTTTTTGGATGCTGAAAGATCTGAACATGAGCACGGTGAGCGCTAGATTGGTACCCTGACGTCTCATCGATGACCAGAAACTCAGATCAAGCGTTGGAATTTTGGAGATGGTTTTGCATTATGACCAAGACGTGAATATTCATGTGTCACGATTTGTTGGCAAGCACATGTTTTTCTTCTTTATAGACAGACAGGGGATGATACTGATTCTCCGGGCGCCCGAGGGACGTACCATCAACGCTTATTACTATTCCACTGTAATTTCATTACATTAAATTATGTTTTAGCTCCCAAAATTTAGCGTTTAATCAATTTAGAATAGTTTGATAACGAAAAAATGGTAACAAAAAGAAGAGAAATTAAAAAAAAACTGCAAAACAGTTGCCGTTTGCAATAATTAGAAGGCACAAAAAAGTGTCATCACAATTGCATGTACTATACTAACAATTAAGGAGCACAAAGGGGCGCGCCTTAGAACGGTTAGCATAGTAAGCAATGCTGAGGTGTTTAAACTGCTAAATGTTGCACATGTCATTAGATATTGTGATACTGCTTTTAACGAGCAAAAGTTATTTGAATAGCGAAAAGTATTATTCTTCAAAACGTATAAAAAGCGTTGGTCTTTCTAAATTCAGATAAACACTATAGCTTTTATTCTTCGAAATATGCTGACTGTTAGTTTTAACCTATCACAAAATATCACATTGAAACATACTAGTATTTGTTTTCGTTCAGACTGATTTAAGCGGGAAACAAAATACTTAATCATAAAAAGGTGATTAGATATGCCAATGTTAAAAAGCAGACTCAATGAAAGAGTGCAGATGAATGAGTCTTTATAAGAATGTTATTTTTTGATTTTATTTTTTTTAACTTAAATTCATTTGGTAGTTTCATAGTTCTATAGTATTGTTTAACGATTCCCAATGCTTCAGTATTTGATATCATTTATGTTCATGAGCTGAAGTGTTTTTATTTTCTCTATTTTATCGCCACATCGTTTGTGCCGTGTGGAGGCTTTAAAAAGTCGTCTCGCAAATTTAATCAGATATGCTTTATTTCCAATCCTTAAAGATCGTTCAGCACGACATAGTTGTTGCGTGCTTGTGGTTTTTTAGTTGTTCTTTCTATTCGGCTGTTTTCTACATTGGTGGTTCCAGTATTCCTCACTTGAATACTGTTTAATTACCCTGAGGATATATGGCCTGCTTTTTAAATTTGACAGCTTATCTGTGATATGCAGGCTTCATAACCTCTGATCCCCTTTTGAAATTCTATTTTGTTTAGTTTCGTTTCGCCCATTGTTTTCTTGTTCAGGGCACACGCATACTTTTACTTGGGGACTATAAACCACTTTTCATGGAATGGCAAGAAAGTGTCACATTGAAGGTTCTATAATAACCGCCGTATGAAGACATCTGCGAATGTTCTCAAATTCGAAATTTTCACCATTTTCGTGTCTAAATGTTAGTGAAGATAAAGTTGTTGCATTTCAGAATAAGCATGAAAACCATGAGAAGTTTGCTCAGTGTTTTTGTAGGGGAATTTTTAACAGTACGAGAACCCCACCCTTATCTGCACGCGGTAATGCAATCTTTGTGAGAGATGTTAGTGTAAAATACATCCGTAGACACCAAGAGTTGGCCAGGTACTGTGATTCTAATTTTCTTAGATAATCAGTGGGGTCCTGAAAACGAGAAAGCAAAGCATGTACACATGACCGAAGATGGTGGTCGACAAATTCTGAAACGGATGGGTGACCGTTGGCAGATACAATGGGACAATTTGCAATTTTCAACTTGTGACGCACATAACTAAAAAAGTATTTGAACTAGAGTCATGAAATTTCACAGGAATGTTTCCTAGCATGTGTAGTTATGCACCTGGGTATTTCATTCATCTCCAATCTAGGTATAAAACACGTGGTGGCAACCTCATTGAAGTCTATTGATCTATGCCATTTGTGTTAATTAATTTCTTTTAATTTCTTTCTGTCATATTCCGTCACTGACAGTGATGTTTATTGCAAGTTTACAACTTTTCTAAAAACATAATTATGACATAAAGAAATACTTGTCATACAAATTCAATGATTTTTTATTTAATCATTGGAAATACTTGAATGATTATTGTTATTGTTGTGGCGTTCTATTTTTTACCGTTGAAACGCAGTTTCATTGGCTACTTTTATCTAGGACATTATTGGGTTGAACAAGGCTAACAGGCGCACGACTTGTTTTAATTTTGGTTTCATAATCTCATTGTTTGGTGCATTTTATTTACGACGCTGTCCATAAGACATAATTCTGTTCAATACGCTTGCGAGTTTCCTGATCCGATTATGGGCAGCCATCTTGGATGGGAACCATAATAGGACAGGGAACCAGGTATGATTGAGTTATGTCGAGGACTGCGTTTTGTGAACTTCGCCGTGCCTTTATGAGCTTTGTTCTTATATGACTTACATGACTAGCACTTACTTTCACTTGCTAAAAGTCAATCTCATCTTAAAGCTAAAACAAATGTTATTTTTCTAAAATTCATTGATTAAAAGCATGTATTTTGCTTACAGTATGTTCAATATATGTACTATTCATTTCTACATAACTAAAATGACTTTTTACAGATTTTGTTACAAGAATGTAATTTAGTTATTGCAAAGTAAAACGTTATGCACTTATGTCTTCAGGATTGTATCAACAATTCATCATTTCTGTCTGCCTGAAGTAAAAGAATTTTTATGACAATTGTTCTTAAAACTATTAAGATTTTTATATAAGTACCTGAATTGCAAGAGATGCTCATAAAGAAAGAATGTATTTTCATATAAACATTATTAACTTCAGTTGTAACAGTAGTTAGTCGAAATGCCTGTTTGCATTTCTTACCAAAATGATAGGATGTATCATTTCACCACTTAATTCTTTGAAAGAAATTATAGCGATTTGGGACAAAAAACCTATGTACCCTTCATAAACATCGCCAACGCAAATATCCGATTAAAGGAATAAATCTAGAACGCTGATAATTGTCATATGATTCAATACTTGAGTAAGGTTATCGAAAAAAGATATCATAACCTAATACTACGGAGTACTTTGTGGTTAATCATTATTAAAGTAAAACTCTTTTATTTCAGGAAACTTATAAATTGTTACTATCATTATATTTTATCATTATTATTATTATTATTATTATTATTATTATTATTATTTTATTATTATTATTATTATTATTATTATTATTATTACTTTATATTATTATTATTACATGTTTATTATTATTATTATTATTATTATTATTATTATTATTATAATTATTATTATAATTATTATTATTATTATCATTATTTTTATTATTATTATTTATGTATTAATAGACAGACAAAAAAGCTTTATGTACTTCTTACATTATAGAATTAAGCTTTTTTATGAAACACAATATTCAAACCCTTTGTTTTGAAAGGAAAAAAAGAACATCGTCCGTAATCAGATCTCTGAGCAATCGCAACTACTCGGCCCTTTCCGTCAGTCTTTGGATAAGGACCTCGAACACAATAGTATGAATACACAGAACGGATGCGGTTTTTCGGTCTAACCTATGCTAAGAAACTAAACATGTAAACATATAGTAATTTAATGCTGGGAGTTGTTGACAAGTTTATTTACAATATATGTAGTATCAGTCCACCTAAAATAAGTGAATTCATAGGTGCAAAAGCAAACAATACATTATTTATATATATATTGTTATAGTTGTAGAAACCGAAAGTAAAAAGAACCAACCTGTTGACATTTAGTCGGATTTGTTTCAAATTGAACATTAGTGGGCATATTTAAATTACAAATTGTTGTCAGGCATATTTTCAAGCAAAAGAGTACCATAACAGACATAAGAGGTCAAATATATACATTCGTTTTACATTATCTCTGTTTCTGTTTACATCTGAAACCACGTGGTAGAACTACTTTCAATCCGTTGTGTTTCCGAGGTTATTATAGATAATAGCCGAGGTAGTTCCGAATGATCTCTGAGAAGAATGTGTATATTAACTGATGAATTTTGTAACTGCTACCGTTAAAGGCTCATTTTTATTAAGTATTGATTAGATTTGTAATATTTGTCTATTTGTTAACCGAAAATACGAATATGAAACGTTTTGGTTTCCGTATAAATGATTTTGCAAATAGTCATGAATATATATTAATGATATCATAGCTCATATCAACTGTGATTTAAGTCGGTACACAGTAGGCTTTAGACATGGGCAACAGTAAGTTCTACTTAATAGCTTTAAGTATTTATGTTTTCGATTCTTGTTCACTTTATAAGATAAGAGCGATATTGAGTACCTTAAGTACGGTACAAGTAATATTAAATACAAGTATTTATTTTGTTGTTTTGGTATGTTAGTCACGAAAAATATTTTAGGATTGCTCGAAATACGACAACGTCTGAACTATTATTTTTCTATTTCATACGAACGTCCAATTTTTAAAATAATTTGTATGTGATTGATCTTAAAGGGAGACACAGGCAAAATTTTCATATTTTAGATTTTAATTTTCTTTCCAATATTCTATTAATGACATCGAAAAGAATAGACTAAGAAGTCTAGGGAAGAAAATTTTTCTCCATATAAAGAAAATGTTGCTTTCTTAAACTGACCCACGCGGGTCAGGTTAGAACATTTAGATTTCACCATAGTTATCACCGTGAACTATAAAAACGTAAACGAACCTGTCAAATGAGCGACTTAGGCTTGTTTAAATCTTACAATATTTTTTTTAAACTTCTAGGGATTGTAGTTGTTTAATGACTTGTTTTTAAACTACTCGTTAGGTCTGTCTGCGTCGTCATTTCGTTCAACATATGTCAACTTATTTACGTTTTCAACTCACATTATATAGTATTCACACCGTATTACCGGCGGCAGTGATGGCAGATCACTGCAGTGATGGCAGATATCTGAAAATTACCGATCGATACAGGTAGGTTATAAATTTGGTAGGTTTAATTATATTACACCAATACGGCCCATTTCATTGCTATAAATATTGTCCATTGAATGGAGATACTGTAAGGTAATTTTGGACTCGTTTTTTTCCTGTTTTTTAAGACTATTTTGAGCAGATTAAAAAAGTGGACAGCCTCGAAAAAAATCCGTAAAAAATTTGTCTGTTTTCTGTTAACAATATCTCAAGTTTAAAAAAGTAAATGGGCAGGATTTCCCCTGTTATCAATATAGACGTTCATCAATTGGGGGTCACGCAAGCTAAAATATTCTACCACGTGAGTCTTTTCTTGAAAGTTTTACAAGACGCTCAATCTTGTGTCCGGTCGAAGAAAAAATGCTGCGTGTGTAGGCAGATACATATTATAAAATGGCTGCCGTCGATGACAGAAATACCATGAAAGTGGCTTACATTCTGACAGAAAATCAAAGTTGATTATATAGGAAATATTTGAAATATCAATAATATTATCTTTCCATTTTGGACCCCGATTAACATACATTGTTTTATAATACACGATGCCAGTTGCGAGGTTAATAGTCTCCCCTTTATTACATCAATTTAATAACTTATAATCTGCGCCGATTTAAGTAAATTTCAAGCCTTTAATTTGTCATAAAGCGATGAACATTATTATCGAGAAAATAATGTCATATGCTTAGCAAAATGAATATCCACTTAACTGTAATATGCAATTGGCGTTATATCTTAAAAAGGGAAAAGTGCGCTGGCTAAACTTAAGATTCATATAGTATTGTATGCATGTAACTGACAGACACAACAGATCAAGCACACATGCATGAATATAGAAAAATGAAGTTTTTTCAATGTTTCATTTCTCTATTTTATAGTGTAATTTTGTCGTACTAAATCAATCACTTTTTGTATTGTAAACTGGCATGTTGCTAAAAAGCTTTTTTCGATGCACATACCGCATTAATAACTTTTCTACTTTGAGAAAAATATTAAGAATTGATAGTTTAACGTGTCAATTCCGACTAAAAGGACGCAAAGAAAAGAAGAATTGATAAAAGTATTGAACTTGATTTTCTGTCAGAATGTTAGCGGGCTCACTTTCATGGTATTTCTGTCAATCGACGGCAGCATTTATAATATGTATCTGCCTACAACGGCAGCATTTTTTTCTTCGACGGACAAGATTGAGCGTCTGTAAAACTTTCAAGAAAAGACTCACAGGGTAGATATTTAGCTTGCGTGGACCAATTGATGAACGTCTATATTGATAATAAGAAATCCTGCATTTACTTAAAACTTGAGATATTTTGAACAGAAAAACAGACATTTTTTTTGACCGTATTTTTTCGAGGCTGTCACTTTAAACCTGCTCAACAAATAGTCTTAAAACAGGAAAAAAAAACGAGTCCAAATTACCTACAGTATCTCCATTCAATGGACAATAGTTTTATAAGCAATGAAATGGGCCGTATTTGTGTAATATAATTAAACCAACCAAATTAATAACCTACCTGTATCGATCGATAATACTCAGATATCTGCCATCACTGCAGTGATCTGCCATCACTGCCGCCGGTAATACGGTGTAGTATTTTATACATTAAAAAAACATGCTTGGAGTTTTAATCACTTTTAAAAACTTCATTTTAGCGTAAGAAAAGTAAATATGGTAAATTTAATATTTTGTCATATCTTTGCCTGAGTATCCCTTAAATCGTATTAGCACTCGCTTTTTTCATGTATGTCCTTACAGATTAATAGGTGCATGTTAGTAAGTCAATGAATTCAGCTTTACATTAAACGAATTTACGAGAAATGATTAACAGCATTATATTTTTTGTACTTTGGCGTTTTGAGGATTAAAACGTTTAAGTATAGACGATATACGTTAATAAACTTTTCATGGTTTATATGTTTTCCTCTGCATTTGTTCAAGATATGATATTTTATTTCAAAAGGCTATTATCTAACTCACCGAGACAAGATGTATGTCTAAAGCCCCACTCTGCGAGTTGTTCATTACGTAATATGCAGCTCTTTTTAGTGCAACTGACGACCAAATTTTATCATTGCAAGTTACAAATATCATTTTACAACCTTTTATGATTCTCATCGTCTCTGTTATGTCATTTGCCCTTTGTTGGTGATTGTTTTGTTACTTGTCCTCATCATATTAAAAATTATCGAAGACTAATTTTATGTACGCTGATCAGCTGGGGCACTTATAACAACTTTTAATTAGGGATTATTTCTTTGTCTGAACCTTTCGCACAGTTATTCCGTTGTTTATTTTGTGAGTGCCTAAGATGCTGTTTATCGCCGTTTGCAATAAGTATCAGTCGCCGACCACCACCCCTCCCTTCCTTCGAGAGCCCCTTCATTGACCGCACTCATTAGTCACATTTTCATCTGATCGTTCATAGACCGTTAGTTAAAATATTCTTTCTTCATGACTTAAACAAAAAAATTAAATCATTGCACACACACCTGTCAACCTTCCAAGAAAACGATCATATTTTACCTGAAAAATGTAAAATAATTTTAAAACAGTTCATACTGAAGTTGTCGGCATATTGAGAAAATTGACCTATTATTTCTACCTATTATTTCTAAGTCCTTTCGCTATGATTGGGGCGTCAAAATGAGACATCCAAAACAATGATACAGTAGTCATAAAAGCTCGTATTGATGCATCATAGTGCCCTTCCTGACTAAAGAGAACCACCAGTTTTCGCTGAAAGTTGGGACATAGTTCTTCACTACGAGACCATAGGGTATCCACACGAAAAGCACTTGTCCTACAGTTTCTTCTATTCAATGTGTTTGGGAACTAGCAAAACTTAAATGCATCTTTTGCGAATAAACCGTTTATTCTTATTCCAGAAGTGGACGTACAGTAAAGCCCCCCCAAAAGATGTGGGCTATCCCCAAGTTTTGGGAAATTTAAAATTTTAAGTTTTAAATTTCTAATGATAGTGGTTTGAGTCAAGTTTATTTTAGGGTTTTAAAAAATCCGGGCCCTGTAAAACGGGTTTTAACAAAAACTGGTTTAAATTTTTATTTTTTTTTAAATTTTAAAGACAAGAAATAGAACATAAGATTTTTTCCTTCATGAATAATAGGAAGTATGATTTTTCAGGTGATTTTTTTTTTGCTATAAGTCAAACTATGTACAATATATTTTGTTTGCTGTTAACTTATATTGATATGAGAATAATATTCACACGGCGTCTCGGAATACATATTATAGAAAAAGGTAGACAAATACTAAATTAAAACTTTTCAAAAATGTTTTCTGAGCTGTTTTGTGTTTTATAGAAAAGTCACTTCTCGAAAAGCCTTACAAGAATGGCGAAGCAACTTTCGACAAAAACGTAAGAAAATTTCTAGTCATTCAACCATTTGCCTCTTTTTGCGAGATTTATATATTTTGTTAATTAGATTATTTTCATGCTTTTACATGTGTGTGAAAAGTTTTAAGAAAGGGGTACACTTTATTTTTACAATTAGAGTGAAATAATTTCACAAAGTTGATCATTATCTTATGGTCAAAGACGGCGAGGGAATGATAGATAAATCGTCTTCTGTTGAAATGATAGAATCATTCGCCAGATGCATTTATAACTTGATGTACCGGTCATTGAGCATAAGAACAATTAAAAGTAAGTTTAATTTATTTTTTTATTTATTTTAATTTATTTATTCATTCATTTATTTTAATTTATTTATGTATTTATTTTAATTTAATTTATTTACTTTTTCATTTATCTTAATTAATATATTTATTTATTTTTTCATTTATTTTTATTTACTTACTTTATTTATGTATTTATTTCAATGCGTGTTTTCTAAGTTAGTTCGTTTCCCAATGCAAATACAAAGTTACAATATACGTTTTTTTTCATATTATTTGTTTAGTCAATTTCTTTGGAAAAAATATTGTTATAAGAATAAGCAGATAAAGCATCTTTTTTAATACGAATGTGAACTGAACTACAAAGAGAAAAATGGAAACTACCATAAATTATTACATAATATGTTAAAACAAAAGACATTTAATACTAACAAATTAGATGTAGACTCTTAAAGTAAAACAACATGCTTGTATAAATGTGTATAACACCAGATAAAAATAATGTTTTAAAGGAAGTTTAAAACGTACACGTAATTAGGTGTTACACATTTTCACATTCTTCTGAATTTAAGGATGGGTATAAGTTTTGTTGTTTTATGTATTTTTTTTTAAAGTAGGTTTTTTGGATCACTCTTGTTTGAAATGAAACGTAAAGTATTTATTTTGGAAAAAAAAAACTATAATAATTTAAATTGTTATATATCAATTTCGACACAAAAAGTTTTAAGAAACATTTAACCTTTGTTAAATATATGTATGTCGAATTTCATTTAACGACTTATAAATAAGAGAATGCATCCAAAGTAGACATTGGAATATCAGATCAAAACATATGAAGAACATAACCAGGTTGTAATCATTGTATTCAAATATTTAGATATTTGACATTGCAAAATTATAAGGAAGAAACATTTTATAGCTGAGTTTGAGAACTGGACGGAGTAAACTTGTCTAATTTATACGCATGTTTGAGACGCAGATACGAAACATTTCTTTCGCAGCCCATTGCTTTCCGTGTGGATAATGTCATTATACCTTTCCCGCCCGCTTATTTAGGTAGCAACACACATTTTACATCAATGTATTGCATATTATGGTCTCATTGGCCTGTCGTTTATTCTTAAATGGAAATAACTAGATCATTAATAGGAAACATTCAGTGAATAACTGAGTCTAGATCAATTATGTTACCACCGTATATAAAAATTATTATCTCTCCCCGGGCTCCGGACCCGTAGTGCCTGAAAGGGCTGCTGGACCCTTATCCGTTCCACGACCGACCCTCTTTTTCGGACGGCCACCCGTAACATTTTAAAACGTGCACATTCTTTCAAACCCTAAAAGCGGGGTCTGAATTAATGAAGGAAACCCGAAACGTTATAAAACGTGTGTTTTTTCAACAGTCTTAAAAACTGAAACGGAAATCAGCCTAAAAGAATTAAGTAAAGTCTTATAAACCGTAATTTCTGATAAATCTTACGCATAAATACGGTTTAGACTTTCTTGCGAACGAGGAATATACCGTATTTCAACGATATGGTTGTCCATCGTATAATATTGAAAACTTACGTTATTGGGATAGGTGTTTGTTTGCTGTGAAATAAAAATCTCAAATAATCATAAACGCACATTTTGACAAAAATACGTTTTAGTATGTTATGGGTCATTATGCGGTATAGGTATATATGATATCCACTACGTGTAAAACCGTAAATGAGAAGTTACCGTTCAATGGCTGAAGTAAAACTGATTAATCTAATTAGCAATAATTAATCATCTTGTCTTTAGAAAAATGTCATAAATTAGGTTTTTATAATTAAGACAAACATATCTTCTATAAGGTAAAACATGTTTTAAAAGCCTTTTTATTAGTTAAATGGAAAAACGCATGGTTGAAATAAGTTAGTATTTGTAGCTTACTTTACCTTATATTGATTTGAACTAAATTACCAATTCTATTATCCAATAATATGATTAAAAAACGATCAGTGACGCTCTTAAACCGATTTTTATAAAAATTACATAGTACTTATAAAAAAACGTGTTTCTTAAAACATTTATTTTATTTACCATCTTTTGAAAAATGCTTTGAAAGTAGCTAATGCAAAATAATATGATGAAAATATTGCCGGGTTTCCTACGACAAAACAACATCCGCTTTTGAGAATCGAAAATTTTGACACGTTTTATAACGTTTTGGGTGTTCTTTCGTAAAATAGGGTCGGTTTTTGGAGAAACGAAAAAACGATACGTTTAAATACGTTACTGTCGCGGAAAGGATATTAAGCATAGACAAGACGAATAAATGAAATAACGCTGTTACCTCACATAGTCAAAATTGTTCAATCATAAATAGTATGATTATGATTGATTGTTTTAATTTTATTTAGTAAAAGAACAAAGAAGGTTTTATCAGTGCGGGTTATTTGGCGTTTATACAAGATATTCATTTGTTGTTGTTTCTCATCTACTTTCATGTTGCTTTTCTGTAGAAGAGAAACGCATTTCAAAAGTATACTGAAAGGTATCACGTTTTTAGAAAAAAAAAACATAACTCCGTTTAAAGTTTTGTCATACATTCTTTTCAATGGATTAGTGATAGAGAAATCAGTTTTTTTTTCAAAGATCGTCGTATGTCTTCATGTGTTCGTGGATTGTTTGTCAGGGGAAATTGATTTGATTTAAAATGAATACTGGTATTGAGTGGCAGTGACTGAATTTTTATCTTCGTTTATTATATTTATGTTATTAGAATGCAATCAATGATTATGTACATCAATAAATAAATCAGCCGGGTATAATGGCGTAATATTGATTCGAAATATGATACCAATTATTCTTCCCCATCATTATATACGTAATATACACCTAAAGTTATGACACTTCGTCTTCTTCATTCACTTCATATGATTTGTTTGTATGTTGTGCAATATATGTTGCTTACAGTTAAACATATAAGATTTGATAGTATGACTGCCAAAAATTAAATTAAATAAGATTTCTTAACTTCTGTTAAAATGAAGCCTTGTACAGTTATTGCTCACTCCACTTCTCACAGTTAAGCCACCTAGTTTTTTTTTAGTTTCAAGTGAATACCTTAAATAGTAAATACTTAATGAGTTACTGTCTGGACAAAAAATAAGCATGAAAAATAACAAAGGGCAAAAACTGAAAAAAATATGCAGGGTAGCGTTATTATTCTTGTGCGCTGCACCCCTCCTCAATGAGAATTATCCACCTTTGAAGTTTCAAGTTGTTACCTGTAATACTTTTTGAGATAAACTCCTGACAAAAGTTATGAAAAATAAAGAAGGGCAATAACTCAAAAATTATATAGGGTAGAGATATCATTCTTGTGCACATCATTCCTCCTCAATAAGATCTATCCACCAATGAAGTTTCATGTTGACTCTTAAAGATTTTTTGAGTTATACTCCACATAAGTATTAAAAATATCAAATGGCAATAACTCAAAATTATAAAGGGTAGTGTTATAATTCTTGTGCACTGCACACCTCCTGAGTGAGATCTATCCACCTATGAAGTTTCATGTTGATATTTTAAAGGCTTTTTGAGTTATGGTCTGGAAAAAAAATAAGCATAAAAAATAACAAAGGGCAAAAACTGAAAAATAACGCAGGGTAGGTTATCATTCTTGCGTGCTGCACTCCTCCTTAATAAGATCTATCCACCTATGAAGTTTCAAGTTGATACCTTTAACACTTTTTGGGATAAGCTGCGGACAAAAGTATGATAAATTACAAAAGGCAATAACAGTTTTTTACTCAAAAATTATAAAGGGTAGAGTTATCATTATTGCACACAGCATTACTCCTAAATAAGATATATTATCTATTAAATTATATATGATTACTTCGTTACAATTATTGTGTTAGACAGTGATTTAAAGAAACATGGTCGTTACCCGATTAGAGCTCGAACCCATGATCCCTGGGTTGAAAGACAGACACCTTAACCACCGCTTCCCTTAATGTTATATTTTTGAAATGCTTATTCAATGATTCATCGAATAAAAGTTATTTTCCTTTCTTTCCATGCTTTGTGGCTAAACTTAAAAGTGTGTGCTCAGTATTTCACAGAGGAAAAACCCTAAAACCTTGTATTGCATGGGCATAATTTAAAAAATGTTTAACAGAGTAACCGGTATCTGGTTTAAATACGTATATTTGGCAACAAAAAGCATGCCATTTCATGTAACAAAATTATTCTGATTTAAAGGTCTTTAAATGTCTATGGCATCAGTGTGTTGCACCTAAAGTTAAACATTTCCTGGATATTATCTATATTATACTAATTTGCGCCTTCAATGCAGTGCTTTATTTAGGGGGACAAATTGAAGAAAAAAATGTTGAGACTTAAACTTAGTTTGCTCATTACACTTATAATTATCTATAATGGTTTCTATTTACTATAATGATTTGATAGAACGAACTTCTTGTTAATGTCTGTTATAATGACTTTAGACAACTGACAGAAATTTGTTTTGCTTTTGCAGCAAAGTGAAAAGCTTATTGACGAAATTAAACGTGTAAAGATAAGCACATATATTCAGGAGAATGGGAGCGGAAAATGGAATTTCTTACTACTTGGTCCTTGCGGAGCGGGGAAGTCATCCTTTATCAACTCTGTAATAAGTATATCAAAAGGGAAATATCTTAATAGTGCTTTCACAGGCGGATTAAACATCGGAAGCATTACACGAAAGGTATTACTTTAATCAAAGAATAATTAAAGTCTGTCCTATCCCTAATGGAATAGAACTTTTGCCGGATATGAAATAATAATACGAGGTCGCTCAAGATAAAAAAACTCTACGATCGGGAATTATTGAGGATTTTTTTTAATTGTCTAGTTTTCTTTGAAGGAAAATTTATATTTCTTTACGGCGCGTTTCTAAAGTTTATATCGTAGCTTTATTTATAGAGGCTCATAGGGAAGACTGGGCTTGCCTAACTATGTTGCCTCTTTAAATAAAGTCATTATTATTATTATTATTATTATCGTTTGATTAACCCGGTAAAGCACGTATCATGTTAGTAAAATGAACATAATTATTTAGCATAGCTTAATCTTCAATAAGTTACATTTTGGCTACTAAGCAGAAGTTAATTGTGGTGCAGAACTTCAAAATGATGAGACCAAAATACGAAACAAGAAAATCAAGTAGAAATGGGTTTTCTTTTTTCCAGAATGGAATCCAAATAAATTTCTTACAATTTTTCGAAATGCAACGACTTATTTATATTGAAATGATCCTTTATTGCCAGTCTGTAATCAGTTCAATAAATCATACTTTAAGTTCTTCTCACTTTAGAAACTCGTCCACTATCAATCGTTTGTATTGTCATGTTTTGTCTTTTTTATTTTGTTTTTGTAATAAGTTTCGTAATAAAAACACTGTTCCGAATGCAAAATTATTTGGGTTAGCAATTCGACACATCCTTATCAAATAGTTCTTCCCCAATAAATTCTTGTCAGTATCGCAATGTTTAAAACTCTAGAAAATGGATCCATGACGAAAAATATCTTTTATTATGTCAGCATAAATTGCAAAATATATAATGTAACAAAAACGATAATGACATCTGCGGACTGGGGAGGAAGCGTAAAATGTTATGTAACCTTACAAAGATTTAAGAGGGAGATCGAGGGAAATTTAAACAGTTTTCCAATAAAAATTAATTTTCGTGTCATTATCAATACGCCCGGCTCGGCTCTTATTTTGTCTGTTACATCATTTGATGTTTGTTCTTCAATTCCATGATAAAATAATATTTCGATTATGGAAGGAATGGATGCAATTTTAAAACTACCTGTCGTCCTCGTCTGAACTGTTTCCCTCTGCTGTGTTTACATAGATTTTATGAGTGTTTCGTCTTTTTTCATCGGTCGTTTCTTTCGCTAATCGATCAAAACCCTCGTATGATGTTTAAATATTTTTATTGATAAATATTTTAGACAGACATTGATTAAAATTAATGAGTTAACGTAAAAATATATTACGACGTTTAAAAAATATAAAATATTGTAGTTTAATTATTCCTCTTAGATTTGCAACACGAAACCCGTAACGCTCTCATTAAAGGAAAAGGACGTCGTGCAATTACTTCTCTTCTGAAACGAGGACCATTCCTAGTCTGTTGTTATCATAATAATAACAACAACATCCATTAATAACCACTCATATCGGAATGAACATTATTTGGAATAATATCAAAAATATTGTCAAATAAAATGAACTATTTATTTCTTTTGTTAGGATAATCCTTCGGCGTAGCTGTATTAAATTAGTCTTGAGTTAATGGAATATAAAGTTACCAAACCTTTAGTTAGATAAAGACATGTATCCTCGTTCAAAAGAGAAAAAACACAGTGAAGAACTTTAAGGACAAGATAATTGTTCATTCATATTTCTGCAGATGCTTAAAATCAATTATTGTGAAAAGTAATCAATAAATAAATTATTACAATTTAAATGAAATTGTTTTAACAGGATTACAACTAAATTTGCAAGTATAGTTACAATTAATATTTCTAAGAATAGTAATTAATTTAATCCAATTATTGTTTAGAAAAAAAATTAAATGATTACTTTTAAATAGTTTGTCATTACATTTTCATATCGAGTTTCATAAAAAGTTTAAGTACATGTTCAAAAAATTCTGTAAAATCATAGCAATGTACTTCTTGAACCATTTATGATGAAATATGATAAACAAGATCAACAAGGAAAAATGGCACCTATGTATAGAAAAAACAACAACAAAAAACGATCAGTTTCCAGTTTCAGTCTTCAATAGTAATGTTATCACAATTCAGTTTTATGATGTTGTTACAGTAGTTGAAACGCTGATATCTTACTGCCTGTCACAGAACATCGTTTATATAAATGTCTGAATACGCCTCAAATTATTAAAAACACATGTTTAACTTGAATGTCAGGGCGGCAAAAATGGTAAAATGTTTACCACAGGGTGATGGCATCAAATGAAGAAAAACCTGTCTTTGTAAACGTTTGATATGTTTGCTACAGTTATATAATTAGTGAGTTTCTTAACTAGTTTTTAAAACTAAATCGGTATACTTATTTTAATTCGTAAATAAACTAAACTTTTTATCAAGATAATAACTTTCATTCAAGAGGAAATGTAATTTTGTAATGTAAAAGTAAAAGCATTTCTCAAGGTCGTTGATCTCTAATGAAAATAAGATCATAGCATAAAAAGGTCATAAATGAATCTCTGTTTGCTAGAAATGACACTGTTAGTAAAAGCATGTTTAAAAGGACGATTATTAAAATAATGCTTGAGAATCTAAATTCTTTGCCGATTACTCATGGTCAGCCTCAGGACACAACGCATCTGCCAGTCCATACATAAGAACATGATGTAAAATCATTATAAGATTCTATAGTTTAATATAATTTCAGAAATATATAGCACAAAAGGAAATATATAGTATATAAAATATTTAAGAATGATTATGTCAAGAGTGTAGATGTAAACAGTACTTTTGGTTTAGAAAAAAATATGGCACACATTTAACAACAGTCAGGACATAGGTAAAATACATCCTAACAATATAAAATTTTAAATTGAGCTTTAAGCAAAACGAACACACAAGAAAAGTTTTATCCAAGTACCAAATAAGCAAATCATAGTTTTAAAATTTTGACTTATATAAATCGTAATTTTTTAGGATATGAGCATATCATAATTCTATAAATACGTTCCTATAAGTTTAACTTTACAGTTTAACATTTTAATAGTATGTCGGGATAAATCAAACGCTTTTCAGTTTGCACCGACCATAGTGTTTCATTTTACTCCATACACCCTTGGTAACACAAGAGGTCGTCCGTGGTCGAGTGCTTTAGGCCGTTGTCTCCAAAACACTTGCCTCAAAGCTTTCGGTTCGAATTTCAACGGGGACTTTGATTTTGATATCCAGCATATGGGAAGTCAGTGGTTCTACTCAAGTACGTTTTCTTCTTACTTTTTTATACAATTCTTATCTATTTCTAATACGTGCACTTACTATGCAATGTCTTGTTATTCGTGATTTTCAAGTTCTGTAAAACATGTACATGTACTCTCTCAGCTGGAAAATACATAATAAGCGGTAGATTCTGTCCCGTTTTAGAAAGAAGCTATTTTTTCCACGGTACGGTAATTTGATATTTTCAACAGTAAGTGCTAAGAACAATCCAATTAATTATTTACTTGTTTGGTCAATGGAAATTCAATTAAGTCGCTGTCATTCATATGCAAATGCTTATAAATAATATAAGATGGTGTTATCATGTTAAGAGTACTTGTATACGCACGAAGGTCATAGAAAAGTAACTTTTTGAATTGGGAAATACATGTATAAGCCTTCTATCGTTATCGTTCCCAAACGACACTTTAGGTTTTTTAGATGCGCGCATGATTGATATTTTCTCATTAACATAGTTAATCAATTCACTACACTGCTTTTTTCTGATTGCTTTTAACAAAATGAATTTAAATTCACAACTGAATATTAACGTAATAATATAGATCTGTATGTTAGAATTTAATTTTTGTAAATGGTATTTTATAATAAATGGTTTTAATTAGCGATCGTTGTTAATCCTCATTACTCGCTAGCAAAATTATATAAAAATGGAAACCAAAGGAACATAAAAATAGAATTTAAGTATTGATATTTGTATTTAACAGTTTAAGTCGTACTCAGGTGGTTCATTTGATAATCTGAGGTTTTACGATACTGCCGGACTTATGGAGACCGAAGGATTCAACACAGAGATGATGACGAGAGTTCTTCGTGGAAATGTTAAAGAAGGATATGACGTAAGTAGAAGAATATTGGTTAAACGGATTGAAAATATGGGAAAGGTTTAATTCATTAAGAGCAATGACAACAAAAGTAAACTTATCCCAAATTTGACATAGATTGTCTTACAAATTCCTCTTAAGGGCCCTTTTCAATCTTTATTTTACATGCATTGCAGAAGATATTTATTATAGTCTTGTAAATATAAGTCGGGAGTTAAATGCAGGTACAATGAATTGCAATTACAGAATTAAATCAAATGTTGTAAGTAAAATGAGGTGTTAAAATGTTTAACAGGAGAGGGTTTTGACGTCTTATCTGTGATATGCAGGCTTCGTAACCTCTGATCCCCTTTCAAAATTTCATTTTATTTAGATCCGCCCATTGTTTTCTCGTTTAGGGCAAACGCATTTTTTAACTTGGGGACCAAATGCCGCTTTTCATGGAATGGCACTTACGTGTCACATTGAAGGTTCCATGATAACCGCCATATGAACACATCTGCGGATGTATCAAAATTCAAAATTGTTCCACTTCATGTTAAATGTTGAATTCTGCTTTTGCCGGTGCTAGGGGGTGTGGACGGTAACTTGCACTTGACAGTATCGTCCATTAACAGGCTCAATCAAACCGAGCCTGCAACATTTTCAAATTATGCCGTGTTGATCTTTCTTTAGGGATTCTTATTTTCTCTATTTTATTAGTTCCGCCAATGTTTTCTCTTTAAGACACACGTCTTCTTTTACTTGGGGACCATACGCCGCTTTTCATGTAATGTCATGGAAGTGTCACATTGAAGGTTCCATGAAATCCGCCGTATGAGCACATATACGGATGTTTCAAATTTCAAAAATTTGACATTTCATGTTTAAATTATGAATTCTGCTTAAGCCGTTGCTAGGCGGCGTGACGGTAGTTTACACTTTACAGTACCGTCCATGAACATGCTAAATCAAACCGAGCCTGCAACATTTTCAATTTTTGGACTTGCTTTCCGGGTTCTTATTTTCTCTATTTTATAAGCCCTTACCTGTCTACTCAGTTTGTTGTTTTCTTTTCAAACAGTAAAAAGATGAAAATTGAAGATTCGGTTTGATTTAGTCTTAAATTATTGAACGTGTTGAATAAAAAATCATAGTATGCAAAGCCTTTTGTCTTATCTCAAGTATGCACTACCATTGATAACATCAAATTAAAAGATTTGAACAGAACTTTCAAAGAAAGAGCATCATACTAGCCCATATTTAGATAAAAATGAATTTAAAATATTATGTATGTAAATGTATGTAAATAATTATGTGCTTCCTACGTAGTTAAAAATACTTCAATTAATTCTACATATTTCTAATACTGACTTCACAATACATGACTGTAGAAATGAAGAAAGTTTTCAAGATCTGCGTGTTATGTTCGATACTAATATTGTAATGTTTGATACACACTTGTAATATGTTCCACTTGCTATCATGTGTATAATATTATAGACGATATATTTTAAACATTACAGCTATACTGTGAACAGTATCTAATAATATTTTCAGTAAATATAAGTGTGTTTATTGTATTGTAGCTTCTGTTACTTGTACGGTGGAACATTATTTGGGGGTTTTAAACTGATTTGGATGATAATCATCTATATTTACGCATTTAGATTACAAACATCTATTTAATTTATCTTCCAATATATAGTTATCGAATATTTTCTCAAAACAAAAACAAAAATTGCTCAAAACATTGATAAATATATAGATTGCCATTGGAATAATTCAGTAATGTTCGATACGAAATGAAATTCATTAAAATACCTGTCGTGAACATTACAAAAATCTGGAAATACAGTGATCCCTTGGAAGCATTGATAGCAACAAAATTACATGAAAATTGCAGACTTGGTTTGATTGAGTCTGTATATGAGGGATAATGAAAAAGTGCAACATCCTTCATGCCCCCCTAGCACCTTTCAACACTTAATAGTTCTAGCATCAATGATCCCGAAGGACAAGAAAAACACTGAATTAAAGTACGGGGCAAGTTTTTACAGCTGCCAGACAGCACTTGACACCTGCTGTTGTGAAGTATAAATATCTTTAAAAAAAAGTGTGACCCCTCGGAATCACAACAAAATTACATGAACAATGGAGACACGGTTTAATTGGGTCCTGTACATGAGGGATAATGAAAAAGTGCAACATTCCACACACCCACTAGTAAGACCATTTTTTATCATTCTAGACAGTTTTCTGAGCAAAATTCAACAGAACGTAAGAGGACGGTTTTGAATATAAATCGGTCTTTTTCTAATGATATGTACATGCAAACAACTGAAACAACTATCGTTTACATGTTCAAATTCAATCCAAAACGTCGAAATATAGGCACTTGTTAGTTTATTTGCACTAACTTCTTAAATTTCTACACAAATCATGACCCGATTGTACTTAATTCGTACCCCGTAACGCATAGTGAATATTAAGTGAAGCTGGGAAACAGCGATAAATCGGGTTTCTAACTTTCGAAATAGAATCTCGTGTAAGGATTTGCATTTACTTGAAATAAAGAAGTTGGTGCAATAAATGAATGTGCCTTTCAAAAATGTTTACGTCTCTTTTTTGCTCAATTATCTATATGTTCACATTAATGTCTTGTTGATGGGTCTCTTACCTGCTGAGAATAAACAGTTCTTCTAGATCTATTTCTCAGTTGATCGCCTGTTTGGCCTATTTGAAATTCCTTTCAGCCGCTGCATGTCAAAACATATAAACCGTTTTCAACAGTGCAGCCCATGTGTTCCTTTGTATGAAATATTTAATCAGTAAGAATTGAAAAAGATCCTTCCATTAAATAATTACAGAGGCAACACCCAAGTTCATTGCGTTTTCTTCAAATTCTGAACATTCTGAACATACTAAAATGAGTTTTAAATATGATAATCGTCTTTTGCATTTAATGGCCTTAGTGTTGCGTATGATCGTTTTAATGTTTATGCACCCGGGCATATTGTTATGGAACCGTCCGTCTGTCTGTCTGTCTGTTTGTCTGTCTGTCCATACGAGATTACCCTTAAACGGAAACTTGGATTTCTCTTAAGTATCAATGGCTTTATAATTTACACACTTATCAATACAAAGCACATAAGCTTGGCAAGTTACATAATTATGGCTTCCATTTTTATCAAGTTATTGCCCATTTCAGCACTTTGAAAATATATAAAGTTAACCTAAACCGGCAAATTGGACATAAATCTTAAGTTTTATCTGTACTAATGGCTTCATAATTTTCACACTTATTTATCAATTAGAAATACATGATATCGCCAAGTTATATAACCGTGACATCCATTTTTCCAAGGTTTCCCCCCTTTTTACCTTGAGAACTGGGTCTTGTATGGTTAACCTATTTCCGGCAAATTGGATTCATCTTAGATTTCTCATAATTACCTCATTCATTTAATGATATCTTTCATATTTGTTCTGGATGCCTTGAATGGTCCTGGTGAAAAATCTTGGACTCGGTCTTTCTAAGTATAACACAATGATACGTCACCAGTAACACATGATTGGTCACGTGACCTATCTTTTAAGTAGAACAAAACCTTCAAGCAACGTAGGTTGATTTTATTTTTTTTTACTTTTTTAATCTTTTTTTTAGATTAACCTGAGCTGTAATCTGATTACAAATAACATTGGCAACAAACGCAAGAGACTCGGTTTTTAACTTTTCTACAAGCTGAGTGACTGTGTCACGTGACCTCCGTTAATTTACATATAAGGAGACCATCTTTTACAGATACATGTTGTCTTCTATTATCCTTTTACCGCATGAGCATTTCGTGAAATATGGTCGTTTTAATTGAAAAGCTACCGCCCCCTTCAAGCCCCCCAAACAGAAGGGGGCACATCCCGCTTCTGGTAACCCCTTTATGTGACATTCTGATGGGGGCGGCGCCGAAAAGTAATCACTTTTTTAACAAGTTTTTAAATGAAAAACAGTGTTTGGAGCCTAAATGGGGCAGTTTTTGACTGTTTGAGGCCTCATAAGGTGGGTGCAAAAAGCCGTCAAAACACGTCTTTATGAGGTAAAAGGTTAAACGTGTATGAAATATTACTGTAACAGATCTTTAAAAACTTTTACTCATACAGCTTTTATTTTCTAATTGATGTCTTTCATGTTTAATACAAAGTGCCAAGAAAGGTCCTCTGTGTTTGTGTTTAGTTAGGGGTCATTCGGGTCCAAAATCAAGGTCACCACTGTCAAAAATAGATTTTGACACTTTTACAGGTGTATTAGCCTTATTATATTGACATATGTCTTTTATATTTAGTAGGAACATAAATTGAGGTCTTCTTCTTTGGATGGAGTCAATGATCAAGGTCGCCAGTGTTAAAAATTAATGTTTTACACTTTTGCTCAAACAGCCTATATTTATTGACAGATGTTTTTCATATTTGGTAGGAAGATAACTTGCATGGTATACTTTCTTTCGATTGAGTTGGGGTCAGTGGTGGTCAAGTTAAAGGGTGCCAATAATAGGTTTCTACACATTTGCTTATATAGCCTTCATTTTTTACTTTAATGTTTTATATTAGTTAGGATGATAAGTTGCGTAGTCTTCTTCCTTTGGATTGAGTTAGGGATCAGTTTGGTGCTAAAAATAGATTTTTACACTGTTGCCCATACAGCTTTTATTTATGGACAGATGTCTTACATATTTGGTACGAAGATAACTTGTATGGTATTTTTCCTTTTGATTGAGTTTGGGGTCAATGGCTCAAGGTCAAGGGTGCCAATAATAGATTTCTACATAAAAGCCTTTTTTGACTGATGTTATTCATATTTGAAAGGATAATAACTTGCATTCTTCGGATTGAGTTAGGGGTCAGTTGGATCAACTTCACCAGTCATAAAAAATATTGTTTTTCTCTTTTGCCCTTACAGCCTTTATTGACATAAGTCTTTCAAATTCGGTAGGAAGGTATCTTTCATGGTCTTCTTCCTTTGAATTGATTTAGAGGTCAGT